TAATAAACATAATATTTTTGAATAAAATTTTACGCTTCAAAAGGTTTTTTCGTAAAACTATTTATTTAAATAATATCGGAGGTCGTTGCTTAAAATAAATAATTAATTTGTTACCGTATATTAAAACCGTTAAACGATATTTAAATTAAATGTAAGGGCAGTTCATTATTATACAATTTTGAGCTTTTAAGCTTTTTCAAGCTTTTAAACTTTTAAGGCTTTTAAAGTTTTAGGGCTTTTGTAAGCTTCTAAGCTTTTGTAACTTTTTAAAACTTTTGAGGAAAATAGGATTTTTTTTAACATTTTAGAAATTAAAAAATTTTCAAAATGTTAACATTTGTCCTACCATTTTTAAATTTTGAAGTTCTGTGCAAATTTGTCCTATATTTTTTTAAAATTTTTTAATTAATGCCTCTGTGCGAATTTTGTTTGAACATTCCAGTTTAACACGCAAAATAAATTAAAATGAAAAAACATTTTCCCCCTTCCCATTTTAAAACCTAACACCTTCATACCAAATTTCATCAAAATCCGTTATTACCACAGACCTGTGGTTATTACTCTAAAAAATGGCGAATGCACCAGGATTAAAACTGAATTTACTTCGTAAGGAATGAAATTAAAAAAAAACCTTTCTTTGGGGCTTATGCTTAGGAGTTATCCACGCCATTATAAAAATGCACTGTCAAAATTTAAGTAATTAATTAATTATATTAATATTCTCCAATTCGTGTTATGCCCTTCTTCAAGTTTTATGCATAGAGAGTTGTAAATAATGCATTATTTTTCGAATGGATTAAGGTTTCACTGCTCATTATTAAAATAATGCATTAATTTTGTTTTAATGAAAATTGAAATAATTTTCATTAATTTTTTTTAGTAAAGTTTTAGTATTTTGAGATTTTCAATTAAAATTGTTTATGTTAATGAGTTATGTTCTCACTTTACATTACTCATTTTTTTTAAAGAGAAATAAATAAGTATCGATTTACTCATTTTTAGTGGGCAATGAAAATATTTTTATTGCATTTTTTGCACGGTTTGCAATAGATAGAGGTGTAATTAATCTTTTACAAAAAGCATGGACTTTGTAAGCGTAAATAATTTATTATTTAAAAGTAATCAATTTCATTAGAAAAAAGTATTTGTTTTTTATTGAAATAGTCACCTTCATTGAAGAAAAAGATTAAATTTTAGGAAAATTACTAATCTTATTAGAGACAATTATTTATGGTTATAAAAACCAAAAACATACTTGGTTCAAGTATGTTTCAAGAAAATGTTTACGAAGTCCGAAATAATATATGTAGAATAAAGAAAATATTTTGTTAAGGAAAGTCAAAAAACTATTTTTAACTGCTTCAGACAATTTTTTCTTTTTTAATATTTTCTTGATTCAACTCAATTTTTTATTCTTTTTTTTTCATGATCTGATCTTCAAAGAAGTCAAATGTTAGAAAAATAAAGAATTACTTACTTTATAATAAATAAATTGTTTACTGATGTTATTGGTTTCACATTTTTTATGTTTAATTACTCATTTTAAACTATATATATTTTAAACTATATATAACCATTAAAATTATTTTTACTTTAAAATTTTTCTCTGTATGCATATGGCCATAACTAATTGAAAATTCAAATATATTATTGTTATATAATAAACTTTTCTGTACATTTTTATGTCTAGACCGAAACGAGCGATTTTTTGAGCATCATTTTTCTCCACTTTGTTATTTTCATCGGTTCTGATGAAAATATTATTCCCTCGAATTAGGTTCATGGCCGTAAAGATAGAAATCAAATTATGAAAACGCCGGCCAAAGGTTTCGGGCCTTGCGAAATGGATAAACTTTTTCCTTCCCTCGCGGATCTGTTTAAATTGTACGGTCATTCTCGCCCCGAATCCATAAGAAAAAAGAAAAAGATTTATCTTTACTATTGGTTTATTTGAAAGAAATAACAATAGAATATTATGAATGGATAAAATATTAATAAAACCAATAAAAAAATTTACATACTTAAGTACTAGAATAAAAATTGTATAAACATGAGTTCTGTGAAAAATTGCTCTAATTTTCTGTGCTCTGGGCAAATTTGAAAACCTGAATTTGTGTACTTTGAAATAAATATAGTTTGTTAATTTTATTTTGTAAAATTTTAACATAATTTTTTGTAGAAAACCAGGGTTTGTAATTATTTTAAAAAAGGAAATTATTTTTCCGAAAATTTTGTAAAGGTAATGAGCATTTTTTTAATTTCAAAGGTTACAGATTATTTTTTTAAAGTTTAAAAATTATTTTGTTTAAAAAGTACACGTGATTTCAGGCAGTCCACATTTCCCACTGACAATACGCATCAACACTTATGTTTCTGCTTACTTTATTCTAATTCGTAACGTGTTCGTAGCAACTGTCCAGAGTGTTTATGGGTATATTTCAAAAAATTGTCCACTTGCTGTCCTGAGGTTAGAACTTAATATTTTTGTAACTAAAATGAAATGTGAAGAATAGATTGGACTATTTCTCTCGTCTTAATTTCCACCAATCACAAACGCGCAATTTTGAAATACAAATGGTTTCTAGGTGGAAAAACTGTATGACAGCACCTGTTAGCAATTTTTTCTAGTTTACCCGCGGCAAAACTTGACAGCTGTTGTCACCAAAATTGTAATTTGTATTTTAATTGTACCCTAAATAATTAAGTTTGTAGTATTTTGTGATTAAATGTATAGTAGGCAGTATGTTTTGAAAGCTATGTGTATGCGGAATAACTGTTACTCACGAAATAGTCTAAAAATGTATTAAAATTACCTTGAAATATAGTAAATGTCCAATCCGTGACTGTCCCAGCAAAGATTTATAAACTTTACTGACTGCTAGAAAAATATAGTTTCTGCAGTCATAAGTATAATATTTTTTATTTAATTTATAGAGGTGTATACAGTTATTAACTAATTTTTGTTTAAACCTAAAACATTTTGGTGACAAGCATTTTAGTTGATGTCCCTTTAAGGGACTCCCTTAATTGAAAATGTACAATCCGTGACGCCATTTTCACACAATATAATATTCACAACTCGGCAAAGCTTTCTTAACAAGGTAAAATATTTATTGTAGTTTGTAGTACCTGTCAAAGTTAAACAAGGTGAGTAACTTATTTTATGTTTATAGGTGTAAATAAGAAATAATTAATTAATAAGTGCGTACAACTTATTGGTAGTCTTTTCTTTGACACTTGCTAGAGTATCAGTTTCTTTTACCAATTTCTTTAGATGTAAACCATTCTGAGTAGTTTATCCTAAAGCTAAAGATCGCGTAACATGTGCTTGCGTCAAACATGAAAATTTTGGTTTTATCACCCAAAAACTATATTTCGAGAACATTTTAAACACACATAATGAAGATGAAATCTTTAAAGGAAATTTTCAAATTAATCTTAAAAAAGAAGAAAAGACTGATATTTTAAATGTAAAGCAGTAGAAAATAATCATCGAAGAAAGTATAATAAAAATGTAAATAAAAAAATTAAATTTATATTTGTTTTATTTTGGGGTCACGGAAGAGACAACATTTATTCTTCCTACAATGAAAATTCGTAAAAAAATACAATCTAGTTCGTATCATGTATGACAAGCATAAAATATTCAATATTTGATTAATATTCCATAGAAATAATATGTAATATATCTAATTTATAATAATTATAATTTTTTTAATAACTTTCCCATTTTGGCCAAGTTTTTGAAAAATACCCTTATAATATATTACCAGAAATCTATTATTATTGTTATCCGAAAAAAGATGCCATCACTGGTTTTTAAACTGAAATTAGGGGATACAGTAAAGTGGGTTAAAGTTACGAAATACATCATATATTACCAGAAATCTATTATTATTGGTATCCGAAAAAAAATGCCATCACTGATTTTTAAACTGAAATTAGGGGATACAGTAAAGTGGGTTAAAGTTACGAAATACATCAATAAGTTTTGTGGTAGTACTGATAATTATATTGCACCAAATTTCTTTAAAATTGGATGATTTCAGAATGGTGTGTTATTTAATTCTGCCACAGAATTTCTGTGTATGTTATTTTGTGTTCATTTATGAAGCATTTTGTTAATTTGTTTTGTTTAGGATTCTTTTCATTTAAATTCCCAATTTCCCAAAATTACAAGAATTATGACTGAATTATTGATTTAGGATTTTGTTATTAAATCTAAAAAATCTTATAATTACAAACTACTTATTTAATTAGTTAACAGATTACACTTGGTTGTTAACTTAACATAAAGTTATGTGGACCTGGGTTAACTTAAAATCTGGTTAATATTTGGTTAAAATTAAATAGTTTTATTGTGTTTTTATGTTATAAAAAACAAACTGGCTATTTATACGTCCGACGTATACAAAATTTGGTATACGTCTTGTGCTTTCATTGGCTAGTTTATTATTAGCGTCTAGTTCCAGCGCCGGCTACTTTTCGCAGACATGCTTCACACGTCACACACTGTAAACTGGAATTATTTTCAAAACAAAAATTTTATTCAATAAGCTCGGTAGCTCCGATGGAAGAGCGCCCGCTTTGTATGCGAGAGATACCAGGTTCGATTCTTGGCGCCAACAACTTTTTTTTTATTTTTATTTATATAGCGAAAAGGATTATTATTTAATTTTACATTAATATACATTTTGCTACAGTTATATTATATAATATGTAATTATATGAATATTCCTTCGTTGAAAAATTGGGCGGGGGGGGCCAATGGGGCGGGGTCGGTTGGGTTGGGTTGTTGAGTTTGGGTTGGTTTGGGTTGGTTTCGCTCACTTTTGCCCATTTAAGTTGATTGACAGTGAGCGAAACCAACCCAAACTCAAGAATGAAAGCTCAAGACGTATACCAAATTTTGTATACGTCGGACGTATAAATAGCCACTTCGTATAAAAAAAGGATTAAAAAAAATTGCAAGTTTTAAATTATATAATAATAATAACAGATTATTTTGGTAATGCAAGCAAGTACAGCACGTAAACTGAATCCCCCAAACCATATGCCATCAACAAGACAGTACCATAGTAAAACAGTTTATCTCTAGCGCCCATTTTTAACCATACTGGATTGCAATCGTCTTCACTATAAAACTGCTGAACTTTCTTAATCCTGTATGTTCTCTTATCGACGACCTCCGTGCTAAAAGCTGTTTTATTCTGTACGAAAGGCTTTCTGAGAGCCTTAAAAACTTTCAACATTTTATTCATTTTTCAACACGAATTGTAGAATTTGTCAAAATAGTTTGACAGTAAAAATGCAACAATGAAGAGTACAAACAATGTTTTATTTCATTTAGTAATATCTATAAAAAGAAATGTATTTAAGCAGTTCTTGCGCTCTCAGCAAATCTCCCAAATACTTTTGCTTCATATCAATAATTCTTTGATTATCAGATTTCCGTTCCAGCTTCATCACAGGTGAGTATGCGCCTTTTCTTGGTTTGGCTTTTAATATTATCGGTAAAATATTTGCCGTATCCTCCATTTTGTTAACCTCTTTGTTGTTAACTACTAAGAATTTAAGCTCCTCAAGTCAGGCAACAAAATGTTTTTATGTTTTTATGTCAAATGTAAAAACATAAACGTCATTTTTTCCTTCATACCAAATCATAGTCAAATTATGAGCATGAAAAACATAATAAAAGAAAAAAATCGCCTCGAGAAAAATCCGAAGAAAAACCGCTACTTGTGGTTGAACACTGCAGTGTCCCAGAAAATTTTGGCCGCAGTACCAAGAAAAGGAGACGAAAGCGCAATAGACTACAGTTTTCGAAAAACCAAAGATGAGTTTGTTATCGAGAATGAATGCCGAAATTTGGAAGCAATGATTAATCAAGATAAGAAAAATAATAAGAAAGATTTTTAGCGCAAGGGGTACAGAATCACCAACAAAGAATTTTGTAAATGGGCTAAAATAAAATTTCACAGTTTTAAACACATTTATTTATATTTAATTATTCTAAAGAGTTTTTAAATTTAAGATTAGCTTTGGAAAGAATTTTGATTTTGGTCTAAAAAAGTATCCACATAAAAGTCCCACTTTGACATTTGATGCAAAACGGTCTTTTGAAAACTGGCATTTGAGATATTTTAGGTTATGTATCTGTCAAAGTATAGTCAACGAAAGAAAATAAATAAAATCATATTTATATATATTTATGAGGGGTGGAAGTAACAAAAATTAAAAAATCTATAGTATCACAATAACAATGTGTGATTCAAGAATTAAGGAGGGGAAGGCAGAAGTCTTACTCGACAAATTTTGTTCAATTGCACAGCTAAATCGCTCACGTTATTTGTGTTTCGCGTTGCAAGTAAAAACTAAAAAACTTTGGTTTAGTACTCGATTTCGATTTATCATTGATTGAGAAACTCATGGTAATCATGGTAAATTATTGTGTTTTTAATTGTAAATAAAATTCAAGGACCAAATCGTTGCATTTTCATGTTTTGACGAAGGATCCAATTCGGTACGTATATTTGTGGTTGCAGAATTAACTAATGCTAACTTAACCTAATATAATTTATATTTAAGTTTGGACATTTAAAAAAAATCTGACAAAATATAATTGTTGTACAAACATAACCATAAAATCAAATATTTTTATATTTGATTGCTCTAAAAAACTCAAAAAACTTGACGACAAAATATATTTACGAATTCATGGCAACATAATATTATATAAAATACATAATATAATACCGGTTCTTGCTATTGTTCCGTTGAGTGGAGACTTTCTTAATCAACGCTTTTAATAATTCATATGAAATGCTATTTGAATTTAGTCGACTTATTTGTTTTATGAATTGAAATGTTTACAATTTTAACCTAAATCATTACTAAAATGTGTATTTATTGTATACAAGGTGTCCCTAAACTTAGTGGCATATATTTAGGAAAAGTTTAAGCAAGTTAAAATGAGACGAAAACCTAAATAAATATTTTTCCTAATTACTTATGTTTCCAAGATACAGGGTGATAAAGTATTACTTATCATATCAGTTAAATTTTTACCTAAGGGTATTTCCACGAAACCTTACCCCACCTTGACAAAAAATCAGATGTGTTATTTAACAAAATAACAACTATATCTGAAGTTAAATAGTTTAATTGCGACGTAATTTATAACCTTAAAATTTTCGTACATTGTGACGCTAAGTAGCTAACATTAAGAATAAACACGAAATAGTTTCAATACTCAATAAAATGTTCAAAGGTCGCACCCGTTACATTTTGAGAAAATTTTAGAAAAAAAAGTATACAATATTTGTGCATTTAAAATACGTGCTTGTCTAAGGTTACTATTCAAGTTTTACAAAAATGATTATTACTATATGCTTTCATTTAAAATTTTTACAGTATCAACTTTAGAAGCCAACTTTTTTCTAAGGTCGCGCCCGTTACGCTATTCATGACGTTATAAAAGGTTTTCTATACAGGTTTTTATAGACATTGTGTTTGAATTTTATAACTAATTTTTTATACTATTTTTTTATATTAACGTATCTTGATATATATGAACAAACACTTTATTATCATGAAAAAAACGCAGTTTTAGTTACAATGGAAATACCCTAAATCAATAATGAAATGTTTATATTTACAGGAAATATGCAATTTATATAAAAGATACTTTAAACAAAATAACTTAGTTACCTCAGTTAACTAGATACTTTAAGTTGAAAGTATCTTTAGTTGCAAGATACTTTAGAAAATATCTAAGATACTATCCGAAAGTATCTAAGATACTATATAAAAGAATCTAATATTTTAAGATACTTTTGAGTAACTAAGTTACTCAAAAGTATGAATAAAAACTATAAAATTATGAAAATTCAACAAGTTAGGTTACTTTGAATCATTCTGGAGTTCCCCCAATTCTCTCTAAGAAAGTATCTAAGTTACACTGAAAATTATCCAAGTTACTTTAAAAAGTATCATAGTTATTTTAAAAAGTATCTTAGTCACTTTAAAGTATCTATCTTGAATGTATCTTAGTTACTTTACCGAGTAAGTTATATACTTTTTTAGATACAAGTTACAAGATATCTTAGATACTTTAAGTATCTTTTTTCCAAGATACTCCCAGCTCTGCCCAAAGGACAGCAAAAGTAAATTCTTTGTAATTAGAAATCGGTACAAAATATTTTCAAACTAGCAGTAAAGCTGTTTAGTAAAAGAGGTCAAGTACCGACCGCAAAATGCAGCGTGACAGGCTAAAGTAGGCGACACAAACACTAAACAAACAGTCGCGACTAGTCGCCTTGAAACGCAATAGTTTGAAGGCATGGTAAAAAAAACTAAGACCCCACCAATAATGAATCAATCAATTTTAAATATGGCTGAATCTTTTTTAATTAATGTTATATATTAAAATACTGAATACCTTTTGACATAAGGAATAAAAGAAAAATATTTAAAAAAACATTTTTCCAAAGATAGAGACAAAATATGCATTAGAAGTTTTTTATATTTTTTGTGATACGCCACTGGTTACACACTTGTTTATCTCTGCACACCTGTATTTTGTGAGTACATAGATACCAACCAACAAAGTAGCTATGCGTTGCCAGATGTAAAAAATTGTTACTAAAAATTTTTCTTGCAAAAAATAAATAAAAACTCAATAAATGCAAAAGTTTTATGCCCTTAAAGCTCTAATACCCTTCTGTATTTATTTACTGATCCAGCTATTAGCTTAAGCAATGATTAGAAAATTTAGTACCTTTGAAATTTGAAATCCATAACCACAAAATTAATTTTTTCATCAGTTTTTTTCTCTGTTTACTCAGATGAAATTGGGACCAGTTCACAGGTTAAACTTTAAACATTTAATTCGTGTAAATATATCCAAAAGCACTTCCCTTAGTTAAGATATTTACAATTTGAAAACATAACATAAAATTTAAAAGAAATGCACTAGATTCTGTCATAAAAGTTGGCAGATTTTGTTTGAATTTACCTTCAGTACAAAAATGAAATAACCAACAATTAATAAAAACGCCAAATTGACAATTTGCATTGTTAATTTTGTCATTTTTGTAATTAAGCTAAATTTAAACAATGCTTGGCAACTTTTTTGAAAGATTTTGGAAACAGTTGTTACCAACCATAACATAATAAATCCACCAGATTAACCTAAAGTTCCTAGTCGATCAGTGTCGTACTTTTTGGTTGGATAAAGGTTATTATAAATTATTTTTAGACTTTGGAATTTAGAAAAAAAAGTTTCAGGTGCTTCTTTATGGACCCTAAGGAACAACCCATTTTAATATATAACATTAATTACATAACACCCTGTAGATGTTTCCAATATTAACCCCATTTTTTAGTCTAGTAAATAATGACTGGCTAAATCTTCTATGAAGTCAGTACTGAAAACGGTAGCAAACTAACAACTCCCCAAATGCAGACAGTAATTTCAAATGCTTGTAGAAATTTAATATATTATATTATACGACTCACATACTCATACATTAACTTACCTTTAAAACAGATAATATCCATACACTTAAAATTATATTTAATGTATATATTTTCCTTAATTCTTAAAACCATTGTGTTACCATAAAGATATCTTCATTTTTAATAATAATTGGGAGGTAAACGTATAAATATGATTTCTTTCGTTGACTATACTTTACATAACCTAAAATGCCTTATATGCCAAGTTTTCAAAAGACTGCGTTCCGCATCAAATGTCAAAGTGGGACTTTTGTGTATAAAGCATAGGAAGAAAAATAGTTTTTGACGTTTGTCAGTAATTTCGTTTACATTTCATAAATCATTCATTTATCATGGAAAATTTCATAGTAAACACTGCACCAGTACAAGAAATTCCACCCCTGCCTCCAGTGCATAAATCAATTTTGAAAGCAAAACCAAGATGTGGAAGTGTCGGAGTTAGGAAAAGAATACAACGGGAGCAACAAATTGATAAAAATAAAAACAAGGAACAACTTGTGAGTTACGGAGAAATTAAAACAAAAAATGATGCAAAAAAGGTATCAATGGATATTTCTTATTGAGGAGCATCTATTATTATTGATGATTTCATTTTAGATAACTATAGTAAAGAGGAAGTCAAAAATATAATAATATTCCGACATGTCATAATGCATAGTAGTAATAAATATAAAGCAGTTTATTATGATATTTTGTTTTTGTTAATTCTGATTAAAAAAGTACCTAGGTATACAGCAGTAGGTAAAGAACATTATAAAAAATAACCTTTAAGCAAAATTAAAAGTAAGGTTATATTAAACGTCAAAATTGACAGACATGCAAAATAAATTGTCTATATAGTGCATTCTATCTTTCACAATAGCAATACTATTTGACAACAACATCTGTCAAAGAAAAGAATTTCAAAATTCTTGATAAAAATTCCAGTAAATCTTAACAAAAATGGCAGACGAAGAGGACAAACCCGCGGGCGAAACCCCAAACGAAACCCCGGACGAAACAACCAAACCCGAAGAAACCCCGGAAGAAGACGATGAACAGCCAGAATGCAAGAAAAGGAAGCCTGAAAAGATTATTTTGGAGACGGATGGCCGAAAAGGCGACGAAGAACCCAAGAAAATAAACTGCGACAGAGGTAAAAAATTAAACAAAGCCACCCAAACGAAGACCAAGACCATGGTAGCCTTTATAACGCCACTTTTCTTGTCTTTGTTCACTTGGTCTTGCAGGAGACCTGAATTATGAAATTTGTTAATATAAACGTAAAGTTGTAATTCTCCACTAATACAACTGAAATAAGCCACTCCGTTTAAATTATTATCGTGAAAAATATATGTATATACAAAAATTGCATATGTTTTAGTAGCACCTATGAATAAAACAGAGAAGAGCAATATTTGCTACTAAAACCTGCAAGGACATTTTGTGCATTAGAAACGTTTATACTGTTTTAGTTCTTTTACTGTTTAGGTAATGAGGATGAGGAGGAAAAACCGCCACCGGAAACCAGCAGAGACTTTAGGATCTACAAGGCAATGAACACGAAGGAATGGGGTCCAGTTTGCGAATGCCACGGTGCCAAGGATCAAGCTGTCTTGGACTTGTTGTCGATTACTATTACGACCATAATGCTGATGGCGATCGGCCAAAATATTGAGGACTCGCAACTTAGGTGGGCTGCCAATTGCCTGGAGAATGTCAGGGACGATAATGGAAATGCCCCACCAAATATCAGGTACAAAATATATTTGAAACAATTTATCAAAAACATATTTTATCTTCAAGGGTAAATTAAACTTTATTGTAGTAAATTAAACTTTATTATTATTTATTAAGTAATTCGTTGTTATCCTTTTGGACCAATCATTAAATTCTACATTTGTCAGATGGTTTAAACCTTACTTTCTACTTTTAATAATTGTATGTTTGATGTATCGTTTAGCAAATAAAATTGTCTTAAAATTCTGAAGAACATTTCAACTTGAAGATTATGTGCTTTGCTTAATTGAATAAAACATTGAGCTCAGCAGAAAAACTTACTTCTCGGCCTATTGATACTATTATTTTTATTTATTTTTCTATTCTATTTATTTTTCTTAAAGATGCATTTTGAACATGATCTACACTAAGATACCAAAGGAGGAATCACCCGAACCAGAAGGAGAAACCACAGAAGAGGCAGTGGAAGAAGCAGCCTAATCTCAATAATCAAAATAAAAAATGTATAAACAAACCTATTTTTTTGTTGAACCCACTAAACAAAATTTACAAATGAGGAGCATCCGTGCAAAAACGGCTATATCTATTTTAATAAAATGTTGGGAAAATGGCAAAAACTCCCTGTTTTGTGGTCTTTACAGATAAAAAAAATGCATCTTGAGTTTTGTGCCCACAAAACTTAATTAAGGTGCATCTTTTTTATCTGTAAAGGCCAGTAAACGGGGAGTTTTTGCCATTTTCCCAACATTTTGCACGGATGGTCCTCAAATGTCGAATGGTCAAGTTTGTAATTTTATGGAACAGCCATCTCATTTCTTAACTTTAACCGGTGGGCGAAATTTACTTCGCCCACGGGCTGAAGTAAGCTTTAAGTTAATATTAAAAAAGTGAGGTTAAAACTGCTTGACAGCTGTCAAATATCAAACACAATAGGTAAGTATTCGCGCCAGGTAATAAAAAAGCTGCAGCCAATACCAAGAGCTCCCGCCTAGCTTTAAAAATTGCTAGGAGGCAATAGAACATTGTTGTCTTAAAACTTTTAAAAATCTTTTGTTCGACTGGAATGTCAAACTTCAGGACGCCAATCTTTTAAAGTAAAAATTAAACAACTAGTTCTGTACCCCAGAGCCAAGAGTAAAATGTACTATGCTCTACACCTCAAAGTCCTACCACGTGACCACGTACGGAACGCAGTCTTTTGAAAATTTGGCATTTAAGGCTTTTTAGGTTATGTATCTGTCAAGGTATAGTCAACGAAAGAAATAATATTATGTTTAGGCGTTAAAAATGTATAAATCTTTATAACATTACAATAACAATGGATGGTTTAAGAATTTAAGAATATAAATACTGCATTTAATGAAATTCTAAAGTGTATGGTGCCAAATAAGTAATATTTTTGTGAATTTGGTCCAAATATCTGGTTTTCTACATAAAATAATTTTAAATAAACAGCATTTATTTATAAAAATCTAGCTTCTCTATTATGGAATAAGAATAACTGTTTTAAAGGTAGGTTAATATATTATAACAAAAATATCATCTAATTTTGTAATTTTAAGGTTAGAAAAATTTATTTTGACCAAAATAAATAAGAATTTTGGATTATTTAAAAGACTGTATAATATGCTATTTAAAAATGTGGTAGTTTTTCTTATCCACCTTAAAGTGTACCTACATAAAGTTTTGTCAATACAAATAGTTAAAAAGCTTTGACTGAACTTGATCTACATCGAAAAATCATTATAACTTTAAAATTTTTAATAAATCACATGTCATGGGAGTATTAAATATGTTCACATTGTTTCTCTAAAAATTGTTTGTTTTCTTATAATCTAACTTAAAGTAAGTATGCCGAGAGGTATGCACAAATTTTGTCAATAAAGTATAAAAGCTTCAATTTAATTTGAACCAAATTCAACAATTATTTAGTATACCTATATTTAATATAACCATATTAATACACTCTTCTAAATAATCCACTTATTTATTTTGGTCAAAATAGATTTTTCTAACCTTAAAATACAAAATGAGATAGTAGATAATATTTTTTGTTCCAATACATTAACCTACAGTTGTATTCAATAAAAAAGCGTACAAGAATTAGAATGAGAGAAAACTGTCAAAATAATATTATTGCTTAAAACCGGCTTATCACTGACATAAGTCATTAAAATAATTATTATAGGTTATAAAGAGCATTGACGTCGTAGGTTAATTAAATAATAATACAAAAATTATTACCTTTTAATAATGAAAAAACAAACATTAAAAAAAATTTAATATTTAGTCATGCATCCCTGTTTTTCTATTACTTGAGCCAATCTATTTGGGATGAACTGAATTAAATTTAATACAATATTTGGATTAATATCTTCCCAGCAGTATAGTAGGTATAGTATAGTTGTATAGTTTCTCATAAATCCTGAGATATCTCAAAAAAGCAGCATCCTGTTCAGGGGTGGACATTTTGGGACGACCTAAACCAACTTTTTGGTTTAGTAAATCTTCCTGTTCCCAGCGTTGCTTAATTTTTAATATAGATTTTTTATTTCTATTATACCACAGTACGAATTGACCATTCTTCTTCGATTCTTGATACTATTTGAGCCTTTTTAACTGACGAGGCATTTTTATTTTCTACTGTCAGTTATAGTGACTTAAGTCAGTGGAAAGCCGGTTTTACGCAATAATGTTGACAGTTTTCTCTCATTCTAATTCTTGTACGCTTTTTTAATGAATACAACTGTACCTTTGATACAGATATTCTTATTTCATAATAGAGAAGTTAGATTTTTTTTAATAAATGATGTTTAGTTAAAACTATTTTATGGAGAAATGTAGACCCAATGCACAAAAATATCACTTATATTGCACCTTACACTTTGTAATTTTATTAAATGCAGTATTTATATTCCTAAATTCTTACTTTGACAGATACATAACCTGAATGCCAAATTTTCAAAAGACTGCGTTCCGTACGTGGTCACGTGGTGGGACTTTGAGGTGTGGAGCATAGTAGGTCCTGCTCAACCTGCTGAACTATGAACGGGAAATTCGCATGCAACTTCCCTCATGCTCTTCCTACTATTTGCATTAAAGGCATTGAACATAGCTTCTTTATTTTCCGCAGTTCTAATACGTTAAGGAGCACCTTCAGTCCAGTGGACGCTGGGAAAAAACTCGTGCTGCCTCCCTAGCATTGCGCCCATACTCCCCTCGACCAAATATTTTACATATTATAATATCAATAATGCATCCTAAGTATCCTTTGCGTAGGATAATTTTAATTTTCAAGCACGATATTTGGCATAACAAATAATGCCTTGTGGTCGAGAGTAACTCCTTCTTTATTAAGTCTTCATTGCTCCACATCAAATATTACCACTTTGGCATTTAAATAAGGAATACAGTAAAAAAAATAATACAATATAATGTATAATGTGACATATTATGTGTTTTTATGTTATAAATTAAGACATTGAATTGATTGAATATTTAAAAATAAGAATAAGTTAAACTGACAAATACATAACCTTAAATATTCGGAATTTGACACATTTGATTAGGTTGGTATACTTGGGCATTTTTAATATTTAAAATTGGTACTCCTGTTCAAGCTCTTAATTTTAAATATTTTGACGGTAAAGTTAACTATTTTTAATCTTATATTATATCACGAGAACTATGAATTTAATCGGTTAAACTAGGCTCAGTAGTTTTTTGTTTGGTTTTTGTTGGAAAATGTTGAATGCAAAATAATTTAATTAAATCACGAGACCGCGTAGCGGTCGAGGGGTTTTATTTTTAATTATTTTGCATGAAACTATTTTCCAAAAAGAAAAATCAAATAAAAAACTTACTGAGCATAGTTTGACAGATTAAATTTATAGGTTGAGTGATATACGTCTAGATTATTTCTCGAATTAAAGGAAACTATTTGACAATTCATAAAATTTGACGTATGTGTCAAAATTTATAAATATTTTTTTAAAGAAACTTCCATTAATTTAAGGTATGTAATAAGTAATAATTGATATTTCGTAAACTAGATAACTTATTTTTTATTGTTTTTTAAAAAATGTTTGTTAAAACTTGTAAATAACACCATAAAATCGTAAACAAAAATCCAATATGGAGGCTAAAATTTAATCGCTGTTAAATAGTTCTAGTGATTTAATCGCTTATTTAAACGAAATTTATTCGAAAATTCAAGGCTTCATATTATAATGAGGGAAATAATCAAAGGTAAAGTTATTGCATTTTTTAACAACTTATATTTGACATTCTAAATTTTTTAAACATATTCTTATAGTTATAACATAACCACAATTATATTCTCCCCTAAGCTAGTTTCTTCTAAACCTCCAAATTTTTGACGTTGTCAAAAAACCAACTGTAGTGCAAAGATATGTCACTGGAAAACATCAAACACACTTTTAAATAATAAAAACTATTTGTTAAAAAATTATTTTACAATTCGCAAGTTCAAACATTCGAATTTTCTTTACACGTACACAAGTGTGTTTTCATTCAGTGGATGTTTGTTTTGATATTTACAATCTGAAGCATTTCGTTAAATTAAACACTGAGCAGTGTCAATCTATTGACTTTGGATTTTCGGCGAACAAATAGGCAAACAGATCTAAGCAAAGAAGCGATAGGTTTTTTTTCGCTTTTATATTCGATTGATGTGACAGAAATTAACTAACTCCAGTGTTTGAAGAGTATTGCTTACTAAAATAATATTTTTCTTACACTCTGGCAGACGATAGCTATACCCTATAATTTTTAGATAAATTAGATCAATTAAAAATCTTTATTTTACCATAAATGAAAGAGCAAAACTTTTAACTCTCAGTTCGCAAAAAAAAACAGAAAATAAATCAGCTCCATAGATGAAAGATATAAAAAGCAGGCACACATCAGTGGATACGTAAAAAGCATTGTCAAAGCAAGCAAAGCTTTAGCGATAAAATAGTTCTTATTGTAGAGTTAATTAATAAGCGCGGCTTACAAATGGTCCCTTTCAAAACCAAAAGCTATACTTCTATCGAAAGAAATCAATAAAGGCATCGTTTGGAGATAAAAGTGAAACAAAAGACAATCGAGGTGGGGGAAAGAGGAAGGGCCAGTGCCGGATTTAGGGGGAAGGAGGCACCGAGTGACCAATATTAATTGAATTATGTGGAATAAATATAAAAAATAAAATCCTATTTTTATAAAAACAAGTTCTGCTTGTCTTATTTATAGTATAAAATCTGATAAATGGAATATAAAAAAATTGGTACCTAAAATATGAAGGTTTTTTCAATCAAAGTACAATTAAAAAAGAATTTGATTAGACTAAATAAATAAACCTCTGTAAAATGCAAAATAGGCTGCTGCAGCAGTACAAAATGCCAAATAAACTTATAAAAAACTAATGAATTGGAATGAAATGGAATTTTTAATTTTGTCTGCAACCATCACAAGAAAATTTAAAGTTCGAATGTTGTCTTTATTTTAGGTTATAAGAAACATTCTTACTTATAATTTGACCTCAGAATT